GGAAGTGAGTCAATTCTCGTAGACCCCCATGTTAAAATGCCCAACTTTAGAGCAGAAATAAACGTGTTTACAGCCTGGTACAAAAAATGGTTTTGGTCTCTATAGTTAATTTCCCCTGTCATGACAACTGTGGGGGGGTGAATTTTTTTCTAACTCTTCCGTTTAAATGTTATTAAGGTTTGAAATTGCGCATAATTAAGGGCGTGGTCACTTTGAGTGACAGGTCGCACCATCACAGGTGGCTAACTAGCATGCTAACTAGCTGGCTCTGCTGTGCGGAGCTGAGCTCAGACTCGGCTGTCTGCTCGGCGTCATCTCAGCCAGTTCATGCCCATGTTCAAGGCATTGAACCTGTCCTCTCAGCCGTGTCTGTGCCTTTTGGATATTTTTTCAGATATATTGGAGTAATATGGCTTGCTGTTCGATTAATTATACCAACAGACCGTCCAAGAAGTCTGTGCTCCAGGTTTTTCGGTAAGTGAAATTCAGAAATTCTAGTATTATATTATTTATGTTTATATGTTTATATCTCTGCAGCTCTCTGGACACCACGCCGGACATAGCTGTCACCAGTGCTCCATACTGCATATGAAAGTAAAATGAGTGTAATAAATAATTAGCATTATATATTTAAAAAAAGTTTAAGCGTTTTTTTTTTTTAAGATAACAGCTGAATCATTGTTTCAAGGTTTGTTGTATAACGTTAGTTTCAGCTAAACTCAACTTACCTCAAGTTTCGTGAGGGAGCTGGCACCAGCGGGAGCAGCCAACTGTGGTGTTAGCTAGCGAAAGTAGCGTAGCTTCTTAGCCTCGTAGCTTCTTAGCCTTAGCTAACTTAGCAGAAGTTTTTCAGAAGTTAAAAAACGTGTAAACTGCGTTGTTAATGCAGATGAACTAAGAAACATCACATTTATTACTGAATTGTGTTAAATGTTTGCTCAATGTGTCAGTATCTCTTAATAAGTCATCATAAATCATCAGAAGAAGCAGATGTTTACCTTAAGCTTGCTCGGGCCATGTTAAAGTTGTCAGAGATGGCAGAGGTATGATCACATAATCCTGTTTAAGCTATAACAGGTGGTGTGTTCCACGTTTTATTTCCCAATTGCTCTTGGAAAGAAGAATAGAGAACTGTAAACAAACTGCTACCACTGGAAATCGCCGGTTTCGGTTCAGCACCAGAAGTTGCAAACATAATTTGTGCAAGGGATTTTGGGGACTAGGAATAAGGTGGATAGCCTATAGCAAATGGCACCATTTTTAATTTGGTGTGAGTTCTTCTTTGAAAATAGGTGTAGTTCCAAGGTGGCAATCTGAATAATTCACAAGGCCCCCCCACCCCACAGGAGCCAGTGCAGCTGCACTTCCTGCACTGTCTGTATTTTTTTTATATTTATTTATTTATTATTTATTTATGTGTCATACACCAGTGAAGGTGCCCAGCCTATAAGGGCTTACAAGACACAAATTTCATAATCAAAGCCAGCAAACATAATCTCCAGAGTACAAACAAAACAAACAATGCAGATTATACATTATACAAATAGAATTCACACAAATAATTCATTCTTTCTTAATTTCCAGGCACTTTTTATGAAGGTAGCTATAGTAAAAACCTCTTCTCTGAAAAACCATTCCAACTTAACCTCATCCTCAGTCCAAAACAACTCAGGCTTCAAATTCTGCATTTTCTGAAATAAAAGACCATTTGTGAAGATGTGTTGTTGATCAGCTTCATTAAAGATAGCGTTCATTTCACTACACCAAGGATAGTTATATGCTTTATCCCAGTTAAAAACTCTTTTAGCTATTCTACCCTCTGGCATAGAAGACAGACGATTCCAGAGCTTCAGCATTTCCCCCTTCTGCTTAATTAAACAGGGTTCCCAACCCATATCGCCTTGGAGTGCCAACACAGGTGTAAATTTGTGCACACATAAAAAGCAACGAATAGCCCGGTTTTGAATAGTATTCACCTTGGAAAACTCCTTCTCTCCCCATATTCCAGCTGCATACAAAAGAATAGGAGAAACACAGACATCATAGAGCTTTGAAAAGGTAGTATAGCCAAGATCTCTACAATTCTTCATTTTACTTATAATAGAACCTAATGCTCTGCCTGACGTATCAACAAGGGTATTAATACCTTCTTCAAACAGTAGGTATTCATCCAGGGTGAAACCAAGGTATTTGTATGCCCCTGTGTAAGATAATGGCTTAACTCCAACATAAAAATTAAAGGTGTTTCTACTTACTCCACATTTACTGAAATGTATGACTTGAGTTTTTTCTTGATTAACTGACATTCTCCACTTTTGGCACCAATGGTTAACAATGTCTAACAGTGACTGCAACTCCTCCTCCCTCTCTGCCAGGATAACGATATCATCCGCATACAAAAGTATGTTTAAATTCATATCACCTATTTGCACTCCAATATCTTCATTTTTAATTTGCTGGGCTAAATCATTTATAAACAGAGAAAAGAGGTTAGGAGAGAGAACATCTCCCTGTTTGACTCCTAGTGGAGTGGGAAACCACCCTGTCTTCATATCATTCACCTGAACACATGCCACTGGGTTTTTGTATAAAGCTTTAACAGCTTTGTAAAATATACCATCTACACCAGCTGAAATAAGTTTAAACTCCAACAAATCTCTGTGAACACTATCAAAAGCTTTTCTGAAATCAATAAAACAAACAAAAGTAGACTTCCCCTCAGAAATTCTAGCTCTAATTACAGTACTTAGGGTGTAAATATAATCTAGACAGGATCTATGTTTTCTAAATCCATTCTGTTCCTCCACTAAAATGTTTTCAGCCTCTAGATATTGAGACAGCCTGGAGTTTAGAATATTAGAGAACAATTTATAAACTGTGCTTAAAAGGCTGACAACTCTATAGTTGAGAGGGACCCTTGGGTCGTTTTTGGCCAACTTTGGAATTGGTTTAATGAGTGATTTGTACCAATCAGAAGGAACAATACTAGATTTGAAACATACTTGCATGAAATGGGTCAGGAACTGTAACAATTTAGGTGTTTTCAGTACTTCATTAGAGAGACCCTCAATGCCAGAAGCTTTTCTCAATTTAGCTTTACTAACCTCTTCAAGTGTAATATCTGAATTTAATAGCTGATTGGGCTTATAATTTTCATGTGCAAACTTCTCTTCCTGGGACTTTTTTTCTGCACAAATATATTCTAAGAAAGTCTCATCAAAACCATCTATGCCATTATTGCCAGAAAATAACAGTAAAATCATTCTCCCATTTGTTGAGCACCAAGTCAAGCTTATGCTCAAGATCACCATTTTCTAGCACAGTTTCCATTGGAATTTTTGAGTCTTTCTTAGGACCCAGTTTATTAATTTCTCTCCAGAAGAGCTGAGGATTTTTAATTAGCAAATGCTCTAAACTAAGAGACAAGCCACGATCAAATCTTCTTTTACAAAATCATAGCTTTTTATCAAAAAGCAACTGACAATGTTTATATTCCATTTTAAGAGCTGCTTTCTGTGAAGGAATTTTGTTTTTAAGAAATCTCCTCTCAGCGGCTTTTAGATTTTTCCATAAATTGTCCAATTCAGCATTCCAAAAAGGTTTATTTTTCTTACAGAGATTCTTCTTCTTACAGGTGTTAACCCTGGAAGAATTTTGTATGAGAACCGTATCCATCTCTTTATATAGCAAATCACAGAACCGTCTATATAATCTGTCAATATTATCTTGGGATTTTTGACAGGATAAGAGATCATCTATCAGCTGTTTCAAAGCCAAACAACACAAATCAGAGGACAGAAAATTTGGAGGAAAATTCCTAGGTCTTTTACATTGGGCCGCCTCTAGCAACGAATAGCCCGGTAAAGGAGGGGTGGGCTTGTCAAAAGAATAACTGGGATTAGCTGAAAATTTTAACGAAACGTTAATTGTTAATCGTTAAACGTGATCTGGCAAACTACATTTATCACCAATCAAACCTGTACAATCAGGCCCTATATTTTCAGCCAGATCGCTGGAAGTTAACACCTCAAAATCAGCACACGTGTTAAAACAATCATGAGCTCTTATAATATAGTCCACAACTGTTAAGATTGGAGGCTACTAGAAATACAGAAAGGCTATATACAGTATTTCAACATTTGCAGAAACACCTTACATGTCGTAAGGTGTTTCTGCATCATTTCCTCATTTTCCTTTAGCCTATTGCCATATTCTAGAAAGACATATATGTTGCAACTGCACCATCAAATGTTAATAGCCATCAAGACAAGAGCAATGCATGTGCAGAGACACTCACAATTTTTAGTTCACAGAAAGAACATCAGATTTCATGAATCACATCAAAATAAATAGGCCTATGTGAAATTATATGAAAAACGTATTCCATAGCCCAGACACCTCACTTTTGTATTTCTTTCTAGAAATTTTGCTCTTAAACTAAAAATTAACTAGATTTTTTCTTTTCTTTTTTCTTTTGTTCTTTGAAAAAACACGAGTAGAGTTTCAAAAAGCCTTAAAATTCAAAAATTATTACAGATTATAATGTTAAATGAGGATTATAATTTAGAGTATAATGTATTATAAACTAATTAATTTATTTCCTTTCTTTGGTATGATATTCTGGATTAACCTTTGGTTGAAATTGATCTGTTTTTGACTGTGAGAAAATTTGGGTGAAATAATCTTTGTTTCTCAAAATGTAGGCCTATGTAACCAAAGAAAAAAACTAAAAGGGTTCTTCGATTTGGAATCTAAAGGGAAACGCGAGTTTAAAATGGCACCTTCTTCTGATGATAGTAAGCCCAGGGGAGACACCATTATATCGCAACAAATTATCAAAGGATGTCTTTTCAATGAATTGGTAGACTAAATATGCTCTGTTTACAGGCTATCGCCAACGCTGAATGTGGTTGTGCAAAGCAGTAGAGCCACAAAGGTAACTTGAGGGTTTGAACTGCGGGGGGCAGTGATAAGCCGCGCGGCGTCTAGGCTACCGGAAACAGAAAAAAATGAGGGGATGCAGGAAGTAGACGAAGAAGAAGTACCACCGCGACCACCACAACCACGACATCAAGAGATCGACATGGCTGCTGACAGTGATGTGAGTTTCCTTAGCCAACAATCTCGGCTTAAGAAAGCGGAGTAGTTGTTTAAACGTGCATCTTAGAACATCAACTGAGTTTCTGTCATATCGACAACTGTGTGTTTCTGTTGCAGCCCGAGTCCGAGGTGTTTGAGATCACCGATTTCACCACCGCGTCAGAGTGGGAACGGTAAACCAGTCATCACTCTAATGACACAAACTGCACTTTAAGTTGTAGTTATTATTTACAGTGATATACAACACCGTGTACGGCAGTGACTTGCTGCCATCATGACACGTTGACAGAGGGGTTTCAATGGGCCCACATCGGTCCGTTTCTGCCAAGCCGTGCCGTACCGCACCGTGCAGCCCCACATCGGGGGGCTGTCAGTATACAGCTATCTGTGTGGTAATGTACTGAAATGTTAAATTTGTGACAGATGGGCATCTCTAAAAGTTTTGTATTTATTGGGCTCATTTCATGTAGACCATGGGCCTCATTTATAAACGTGGCGTACGCACAGAAGCGGCGGAGTGATGAAAAGCAAGAAGTGTTGTGAATTTGATATCATTGTGTAAAATAAAGACAGATATGACCTCTGATGTTTTATATATTAAGAGTGCACTTGCAAAAACGGATAAACATGAATAAACTAACAAACGTGTCTTTAGCCCTATTCGGACGGGATTAGTTTTACATAGGGACGTGGGGTAAAGTAATAATTACCAGAGATTTTAGTCCCGTCCGAATGTGCCATGTCAGTAATAATTACCGCGACTTTTACTTCCTGTAAAAGGGTCCCGGACAATTACCTCAGGTAATACTAATCCCGTGCGAATAGACCAGCAGTAAATATGTGTGTTAGGGCCAGGGTATGAAATTAACAAAATATTTTGGGGGCAATTTTGGCCCCTACGGTCTAAAAAATGGGGGCATTTTCGAAATGTTTGGGGGCCATCAAAAAATTGTAATTATGTTCTAACAATAAGCACATGAAAAGGAAAACCAACTAAGATAGTGTCTTCACTCTTCAGTAGAAACCACTAAATGAAATAAATAATGTGTTACATAAAGTTATGGTTGCAAAATATCACTCAGATTTCCTATAATTCAACCAGTTTAAATGTGATGATAAAACCATTAATCTACTGATAGCAGTACTAATGTTTCACCACATTACAGTTACTTTTACTGTTAAAAAGGCCAAATTACTATAAATTCCTTAGATGCAATCCTGGAAGTAAGTTAATTTAAAATTTA